CAGAAGACCCGCCCCCCCCCCCCCCCCACAAAAGATTGTTAGGAATGTAAGACGGGCTAAGACAGCCTGTTGCAAAGAGGGAAATCTCCTTTCTCAGTTCAGAAAACTGGGGATGCTAAATTGAATAGGCAGAGTTTGGAGGTAGAAGATTCAGCCCTTTAGATTTTGTTTATATCTGGGCAGTTAAACAACACTGGGACTTTGGCTATTGTGACAAGGTCAGGCCAGAGGGCTGCTACAAAGTAGGGGAAAGGCAGCCCCAAAAGAGTAAAAGGCCTCCTAATTAAGGGTGGAGAGCTGCAGGGCAATTAGGAGCAGCTGGTAGTGCAGGATGATTGGGGACAGGTGACTCCACTCCAGGCCTGCCAGAGGCCTTTAAAAGCCTCCCCAGTTAGAAGGTTGGGGTGAGGGTGAGAGTGAGAGGACAGAAGGAGAGGTAGAGGAGAGACAGAGGGCAAGAATTTGCATCTAAGCTATAGTAGTTCTAGAGCTAGACACAGCAGGGGAGCGAGTCCCAGAAGGAGTGGCTGAGCTCCCTACCCCAGAAACCTGAGAAAGGGGGAAAGCTGCCGGCCCAAACATTGGCCAGGGAAAAAGGGGCTCTTGCCCCACTATTGAATCTAACAGGATCTGTGATGTGCATTGGGATAGGTGACGCAGACTAGATGATCACAGTTTTGCCTTCTGGATTTAAGAGTCTGTGAATCTATAAAAGAGAAGACATGCTAATGTTCTGCCAATATTTAAAAGAGGTAAACAGGATGATCTGGTAATTATAGGCCTGTCAGATTGAAATCAATCCCAGGAAAAATAATGAACAGTTGACTCAAGTAATCAAGTAGTAAAGAAGGGTAATATAATTAATGCCACTTAACATAGATTTTTGGAAAATAAATCCTGTCTCATTAACTCAGGACTTTTTAATGAGATTACAAATTTGGTAGAAAATGGTGCTGATGTAATATACTCAGAGTTCAGAAAGGCATTTGACTGGATACTAAGGATGTAAAATCCTGTTTAATTAGTTATCTAGTTAAACATCGGGGCTGCGTCTACACTGGCACGGATGCTCTTGCACAAAAGCACATCTCTTGCGCAAAAGCACATGCCAGTGTAGACTCTCTCTTGCGCAAATACTTTAACGCAAGAACTCTTGCTTTAAACAGTATTTTCGCAAGATCATGCCAATGTAGACGTAGCCTAAGTTTAACCAGTTAACCGATTAAAAAGGGACAGGCCAGGGGGAGGGAGGAGGTCCTTGCCAGCCCAGCTGGAAGCAGCAGCCTGTGCAGGGCCAGAGGCAGGGGTCCCTTGGTGGGTCACAGGTGTGGGCTACTTCCTGAATACTGGTTAACCAATACCCATTAACATTCCTACTTGGTATCACATGGAGTTTTGATTTTTAAAAAGTAGAATAATAGCAAATTACCATGGCAGTTTTTAATTGGATTAAAAACTGGCTAACTGACAGATCTAAAAATGTAATGATAAATTGGGACTCATCATCAAGAGCTTTTGTTTCTAGAGGGGTCCTGCAAGGATCAATTCTTGGCCCTACTCTTTTTATCAGTGACCTGGAAGAAAACAAAATAATCACTGATGCAGTTTGCAGATGGCCCAAAGACTGGGGAGGGGAGGGGAGTGATAAATAATGAAGGGACAAGCCAAAAATACAGTGTGACCTGCAGAGCTTGGTAAGCTAGGTGCAAGAAAATGTACATTTTAATAGGGCCAAATGTAAAGTTATACATCTATGCTCAAAGAAAGTAGGCCATTCTTGCAGGATGCGGGGGGAGGGAGGGAGGGTATCTATTCTGGGAAGCAGTGAATCACGTGGAGGTTATGTTAGATAATCAGCTGAATATGATCTCGCAGTGCAATGCTGTAGCCAAAAAGGCTTACACAATATTTGGACGCATAAACAGAGGAATTTTGAGTAGTAATAGGAAGTTATATTACCTTTGTATTTGGCATTGGTGTGAGTTCTACCGGTGTTTACGGTTCTGGTGTTTACAATTCCAGAAGCATGTCGATCATTGGTGAGGGTTCACAGAATAGCCATGAGAATGATTAAAAGAAAACATGGAAAGCATGGGACGGGTGAAACAATTTGAATAAGAACTCACTCAAATCTTCAGCCCCCTCAACAAGTACTAAAGAAGATGTAGAGAAGATTAAGGGATGAATTGATCAGAGGCTATGAGTACCTACATCTGGAACAAAAATTTGAAAATGGCCTTTTCTGCCTAGCAGACAATGATAAAACACAGTCCAGTGGCTAGAAGTTGAAACTAGAAAAAAGCAGACTGTGAAAAAGGCAACAATTTAACAGTGTCAGTAATCAAGCATTGGGACAATTTAGCAAGGGTTTGTGGTGGATTCTCCATTGCTGACAACAGGATAGCTGATAATTGAGTGGTTTTAAACAGGGATTAATTCAGGGAAGCTCTGTGACTAGTGGTACTCAGGACGTCAGACAAGATGATCACAGTAGTCCCTCCTTGTTTTATAATCTATGAATCTCTGGACATCAGCAAAACAATAGCACAGAAGATTAATGACCATATTCAAACAAACAAATGGGTTGACATTTCCGAAGGTGAGATGGAAACAGAATCAGCTTGGGTTTCCATGATACTTTTGACACTATCATGTTCAGTAGACCAGTACATAACCAGTTGAACATAAAAACACAACTGAATATTATTTATACTGTAGCAGAACCCAAAGCGATCCTTTGACTTCCATATTTTTAACCCCAGCTTTTCTATAACTCCACATTAACTCCTATCTCTTTATATTTTTATTATTTTTAGCCCTTTTTAAGAGTCAATTTTAACATTAGCTTTTGTATGCATTTAACTCTTGCCACTTGAACAAAAGTTCAGGTGACCGGGCTGAGGAAAATGTTTTTGTATGTGAGAGGGGTGAAGATGACCGCAGGCAAGAATTACAACTTGAAATCATGGAAGAGTGAACAGGGATGTGAACTTACTGAAACATTGTAAGGGCTTTTGCAGATAGAACAGAATATTTAACTAACACAAAGCTAGTGCTCTAGAGTGCCTGTGTAACCCACACGCCTTCTGGCTGTGGTGTACTGTCCCATCTAGTGGCACCTAGACCACTTATGGCGAGAATAAGAACTCGGTTCTATAGCCTTAGGTAAGAGCCAGCAGGCTTTTTGCTCATGTGGTACAGGCTCATGCATTAAGCTCCAGAGGTCCTAGCTGGCATTACACACATGGGCGGTGGGTGAAGGTAGGGCTGGGGAGGTAAGCCCCCAACCCCATCCTCAGCCCCTCCCCTTCTGCCCAGATCCCATCCCCCACAGGATCCAAGTCACTTCCGCCAACATCACAGGAAGGCGGAGTTGTGCACAGCCCCAGCCTCCCCAGCCCTGGAGCAAAGGACAGCAACACTACATCCACATACACCATAGGTGTTCTGGAGGCAAAACATGAGTGGGGTCAGGCTGGCGGTTTGGGAAGGCAATGCCTTCCCTTGCCTAGTATACCCACCACCCCTGGTTACACATGTTCTCAAACTGAGGGTTGTGACCATTGGGGGGGTGGGAAGAAACAAGTGTGCTGGGGGGGGAGCAAACAGAAACCATGTCCTTCCCATATTGATAAATAAGAGGGGGACCAGTATAGGGAAGGCTGAACACTAATGTTTGTGTTATCAAAAGTTTCACATGTTGCTCGTAGAGATGGGTGAAACATTTTGAACAAGGTAAAAACTAATCATCCCAAACAAAGTGGACCTGAGCCTCTTTGGGGTTTGAAAACAGTCAGAAAACCATTCACCTGTTTTTTCCACTTCCGGGCTTCAACTGGGGCATGCAAGAAAAATAATCATAATTGTGTATGAAAATCCTGACTCAAACAAGACCAGAAAGATCTAGGAAGTACAGGTAAATCTGAATAAATATCTGAAGTTTTAGGGACCTAAAAATTAGTTCATTATTAATTTGGGTAAGTATAGTCTGTTCCTGCAATGAAGTCAAGGAAAAGGAGAATATTGGGCTTATATACTCACTTTTACCCCAGATGGAAGAGAAGAAAATGCAGGGCCTGGCTGACCAAAGGATCTTGTCGGCAAGGTGGTATAAGATGAGCCAGCATTCGATGGGTAATCTAAATAATGGATTGTACACACACTGTAAAAACCGTGACTTATATTAACTGTATACATGTGTCTAATTAAAAAAGACTGCTTCTAAATAATTCAGAATTATCATCCATGCTTCTATACAGAACAATTGGTACTACAGTAAAAAACACCAATGAAAAGAAAAAATAACATTCATACGCTTCCGTGGTTTTCTAACACATAAAAAGGGACCTCTTAGAATGAATTTTTATAAAGATATGGGTGAATTATAAAATTACTTTCTTTTTCATTTTAATATGTATACTTGTTATTAATGAATATGTAAACAACTCACCTTCAATGCTAGAAGGGTTAAAAACCGATGTGTTATTTGGAGATGAATGCAACACTGCCTCTACTGAGTTTAATGCACATCGGATGCCAGTGCTGAAAATGGAAAAGAGAGTTTTACTCCAAAATCAAAGTGAGCGAGGTTACACCCGTGTGAATTCAGTCTAAGATCTCTAAAACAGTACTTACTTTTCTGAGAAAACCACACATTTTTGGATGTGAAGATTTCCGTTAATGTGCTGATCCCAGTCCTAATATTGAAATAAACAGGACATAACTAATAAGTGTACAATAAGGGCTGGTTTTGAAATTGGCATATTTCATATACTAGTACAGTAGTTTCATTTAACTAGCAACAGAATCTGAGGTAAGTAAGAATAACGAATAATTCATGAGGTAAATAAGAATAAAAGGGTTACCATATAAGGAAGATATCAAATGGACTTTTATTCCATACTGACATCAATTCAAAACTGGTAAGTGAAATGCTATAAATGTGTGTTGAAAAGACTTGAGCTCCTGAAAACATTCTATGCATAACTTTACACAAGCGATTAAGTTTATGAGTTTTAAATCAGTTAAGTTAATATAGGATAAGGCCTAGGGATGATAAATATCAGTTAATTGAATAGTCGAGTAAACCTCATGAAATTGTATTGGTTAGTTGATTATTCTATAGTCCTTGGGGGTGGGGCCGGCAGCCAATGTATCAGAGACAGCAGCGCGGGGTGCCAAATGGGAGCTGGTCCACGAGGGGAGCCAGTTTAAAAACCAGCTCCCCTCATGGACCACCTGCCTGTAGCCCCATGCTGCTACTTCTGATACAAAAGCAATAGCGCGGGGTGACAGCAGACCCGGTCTAGGAGGGGTCTGAGCTCCCGGACCCGGCACAAGTCAGAACTGAGCTGGGCTGCCTGCCTGCCTGGCTCTTAATACACATAAAATACAGAGCTGCAGTGGGGGTAGGTCCTGGACCTGTTGCAAGTCAGGACTGAGCCAGGCTGCTGGTTAGCCTGCTAAAAACTGTACTGGCAGGGAAAGGGAGAGGGGGGGAAAGCGTGCAGTCGATAGCATTAACCTATAAGCTTTTGCTTATCGGTTAATCGGTTATTCGACTATACTATTACATCCTTAGTAAGGCCTCGTCCTGCAAGATGCTCAGAACCATCAAAATCCATTAGTGTTCATACATTTTGAAGTTCTCTGCACCTTGAAGAACTGTGGTTCCGCTCACAAAAATGTTCTGTTTTCATTCCAGTGTGGAACAAAAGCAAATTTCAAGACCTCAAAAGTTTCCTCAAAACTGAATTGTTTTCTTCCAGTCAGCTCTACCAATTATGACCTCAGTTACACCCAGGAAACTCCATCAAAGTTGATGGGGTTACACAAGAGGCAGAATTTATCTTGCGGTATCTTTATTACTACAGGTTGAACCTCTCTAGTTCAGAACTCTCTGGTTCAGAAACATCTGTTTTCCAGCATGATTTTAGTTAGCTGAATGTCCACTTTTCATGGGTTAGCCAGGTTTCTCGTGGTCCCATAAAGTTTGTTTACAGCCACCAGTCTTGGCCACCAGTCAGTGTTCTGTGCTGTTATTTAGCTCTAATTTACCCCTAAATGTCTTGTAAGAGGCAATAAGCAGTGGAAGTGTTGGTGATGCTGCTAGATAATATTGACCTGCCATGGTCCGAAAAATTCTCTCGTTAGGAATTGGTCAGGTCTCAAGGGTACTGGACTAGAGAGGCGCAAACTGTAGTGATAATGCACAAAGGGGAAAGGAGCCAACTCTCAGAGACTCGTTAGAGCAGGGGAGGAGAACCTCAGGCCTTGCCTGGATCTGGCCCCTGAGGCTCAAGGCTTCCCCCCAGCACTGGGGAGCCAATGCAGGTAATCCAGCCCACCCTTCCCACTGAGGGGCTGGAGTACACAAAATGTACTAGCGCTCTGGTGTGCTAGGGGAATGTGTCTTTCTCCTTCTCAGTTGGGGGCCACATCAGTGAAAGGTGGGGGGGGGGGTTCCTTCTCACTTGTGTGCGGCCCCTGACTGGTTTTTCTGTGGGTCAGCAGCCCCTGACCCTAAAATGGTTCCCCACCCCTGCATTAGAGTTTACAGGACTGGTCTTTAAAAGTCAACATGGTCATTTTTACTTGCAAAGTCAATATGAAATTAGTGAAACAACATGAACAGAGAATCCCAAAGGATGAATTTAATCAAACCACTTTGCCGAGTAGAATCACCTCTTACTGTGTGAGAAGCGCTTACCTTCAGATCAAAGATCTTTCTGTCACATACGGTGCAGATGTGTGGGAAATGAAGCGGGGCTATGCCATGAAAGTCATTTAATTCATGAGGCTGAAGAGATCTCATGGACAAATCAGATGCGTTTGCGGTCAGCTCCTCATTCTGCCTCAGGCGGGGACTACTCAAGCTTGGTTTACTATTGTTGAGTCTGTGGAAAGAATGCATTGTCCCAGCACCAAACTTTGTGTCAGGGGTCGGCTCTTCCGGGTTGTAGAGCTCATTTCGGATTTCATACTGCTGACCGGTGGACGGCCACACGTTGGCGCCGGCCATGAGGTCAGGCTTGTTTTGGCTGGAGAAACTAGGAGCATTTTCCCATTGGCTACTTGCACTTGTGTTATGTACCCCAGGACCTGGATCACCTTTCTGACTCACAGTTTGTGGCTCTCCGGAAAAGCCCAAAGATTGTATTCCTGTGGTGTGCTGCCCTTTAGAATTGGGTCCATAGAAGTCTTTCTGAAATCCAGGCTGACTCTCATGTTTCAGCTGGCCCGAAGGACCAAAATGACCTTCATAGTGTACCCCACCAGAGGAGGACACTGGGTGAGTCCCACTGGACTTAAAGCCATGCTGACTGCCCTGGCCCGCCTCAGCTGTGTATCCTGGAGGAGCAGAGACATTTTGTTTACCGTAGTCATAAAATCCTCCTGCAGCAGACGAGTGGCCAGTCTTATTTAGACTCATAACTACAGCTGGTTGGCTGGATGCCTGAGACATTACACCTCCAAAAGGGTGCATGACAATCGCATTTGTGGTTTGGTTTGTTATGTTCCCAACCGACCCCAAGCTTCCTCCTTGTACTGCTAATGCTGGATTCTGTGCTGGAAAAGGTATTCCACTAGATGGAAATCTAGTATTGGCGATTGCAGGTCCTTGCTGTGGTCCTCCCGCCTGCCCCTGGGGGGTGTTGATCATGGACGGATGTCTTAATTGGTTAAACAGCGGCTGAGACATAGCCACTTTGGAGAGAACTTGATTCAGAACAGTTGCAGCTGCTGTGTTGCTGGTGACTGCTGTCTGAGCCAATTTTAGCCTGTGCAGGGTAAGCTGGGCCTGTAGCTGAGCAAGCTGAAGACTTGCAGGAGACGGAAGCAGTGGATTGGAAGCACTGACGGAGAATGGATTTTTGTCCAGAAGCTTGGCCGCACTGAAAAGGAACAGGAGGTTAAATTAACCTAAAAGTTAGCAGCAGCCTCTTCCTACCTTAACGTCAGGGCTAAGAAGCTCCACTTGGAGATTTATCCTTTCTAAACTTGTGGAGGGAGAGGTGATGGCTTATGATGCCACAGAAAGAAATTTCTCTTAAGTGTCTAGTGCCATATTCATTTCAATTAAAATGTCATTAGGGGGATCAGTGTTTCAAGGATGGAACAAAAAGCCACGTGTTTGTCTAAAGTGTGAGCCACTCCACTCAGTAAAAAGACTCTTGTTGAGTTCAGTGGGCTATAGACCGGGCCCTTCCTTCATTTAAAGTGTTTGCAAGAGTCCTGCCTGGATTTGTGTCTGAGATGCAAGGTGGGTGACATGCAGCATTCCCTGCAAGCTGAGCCCTTGGAAGACTACCCAGGAGAGATTCAAATGCTGCCCAGCTGATTGGCAGAGTGCCCACAGCCTCCCACAGCCAACAGCATGTGTTTCTCCTGCTGGTGCACATCTGCACGTGCCCTGGTGCACATAAAAAATTTATTCTGCATTTAGATGGAAAAAATTAGAGGGAACATTGGCAAGGTAGTATCTTTTATTGGACCAACCTGTATTGAATTTACATTCGCAGTAGCCAGGCAACCTTTCCCACAGTGTACTAAAAATGTTCATCAATCTCAACTACAAAAAAAAAATCCAGCAGGGCTGAAAGAAAGCAATTCCTTCACCATAACCCACTCAGTCTTTGCCATCTCTGCAGAGACAGCCCCAGTTATGAAGGTGTTTCTGTGATGTGGGCATGTGTTCATTAGGACATGGACTAAGACCACTAACTCAGTCTGGGTATGTCAACACTACCCTCCTATTTCGAAATAGGAGGGTAATGTAGGCATACCGCAATTGCAAATGAAGCCCAGGATTTGAATTTCCCGGGCTTCATTTGCATAAGCGGGGCGCTGCCATTTTTAAATCCCCGCTGATTCGAACCCCGTGCCGCGCGGCTACACGCGGCACGAACTAGGTAGTTCGAACTAGGCTTCCTAGTTTGAACTACCGTTACTCCTCATTGCACGTGGAGTAACGGTAGTTCGAACTAGGAAGCCTAGTTCGAACTACCTAGTTCGTGCCGCGTGTAGCCGCGCGGCACGGGGTTCGAATCAGCGGGGATTTAAAAATGGCAGCGCCCCGCTTATGCAAATGAAGCCCGGGAAATTCAAATCCTGGGCTTCATTTGCAATTGCGGTATGCCTACATTACCCTCCTATTTCGAAATAGGAGGGTAGTGTTGACATACCCAGACTGAGTTAGTGGTCTTATAGCCTCTGTCTAAAGCCTCCAAGAACCACGAGGTCAGAGCTTTTGGCCATGAGTACACTCAGGATGTAACTTAGAACTTTTCTACCAATCAGAGGAGGGAGCCTCCCAATAGGAGATGTGGGGGCAAGATGCCTAAACGGCTTGAAGACAGAGATTGATACGTTTATGGCTGGGATTATACAGACATGGTTCCGATGCTCTTATGGTCACTAGTTAGCTTAGATTCAACCCAGGATGGTAATGAGAACATTATTGTCCCAGCAGTAGCCCCCTGAGCCACCTATTCTACCAATACTGGTTGCAATAAATAGTTAAAAAAACCCTTTGAACCAACCAAAGCCCCTGGAGATAAGCACTGTTCCTCAAGAGGTACCATTATGGCTCCTGAACCCAACTGAAACCACCCTGTCCTCAAAATGACAACTGGTGTCAATAGCAACTGTCCCTCAGAAAGGAAGAACCAAAGGATGCTGGGAAAGCACAGATGAACCAGGAGGAGGAGGAGGAGAGTTCCCCACAGCTGCACTGTGGAGGATGAGCAAGACAGTGCCTGTGATCTTCCCCCAGGAATCTAAAAGGGCTTCACCCACAACAAAGCTGGGCAAGTGAAAGCAGACACAACACAGTTTACACTTATCTAATAATTTCCTGGGTCAACTGCTTTACATGTAACATGCAAGTGTTGAGAGTCTCTGGGTTAGGCTAAAAGGGATTAAAAACAAAGGTGATGTCATGCTAGGAGTCTACTACAGGCCATCTACAGGGGGAAGAAGTGGATGAGGCTTTTTTCAAACAACTAACAAAATCATCCAAAGCCCAAGATTTGGTGGTGATGGGGGACTTCGACTATCCAGATATATGTTGGGAAAATAACACTGCGGGGCACAGACTATCCAATAAGTTCTTGGACTGCACGGGAGACAACTTTTTATTTCAGAAGGTTGAAAAAGCTACCAGAGGGGAAGCTGTTCTAGATTTGATCCTAACAAATAGGGAGGAACTGGTTGAGAATTTGAAAGTGGAAGGCAGCTTGGGTGAAAGTGATCATGAAATCACAGAGTTCACAATTCTATGGAAGGGTAGAAGGGAGAACAGCAAAATAGAAACAATGGATTTCAGGAAGGCGGATTTTGGTAAGCTCAGAGAGCTGATAGGTAAAGTCCCATGGGAATTGAGACTGAGGGGGAAAACAACTGAGGAGAGTTGGCAGTTTTTCAAAGGGACATTGCTAAGGGCCCAAAAGCAAGCTATTCTGTTGTGTTGGAAAGATAGAAAATACAGCAAAAGACAGCCTTGGCTTAACCACGAGATCCTGCATGATCTAAAAATAAAAAAGTAGTCATATAAAAAATGGAAAGTAGAGAGAAACAGTAATAGGTAACTTGGAAATGGCAGAGATGTTCAATGACTTCTTTGTTTCAGTTTTCACCGAGAAGTCTGTAGGAATGCCTAACATAGTGAATGCTAGTGGAAAGGGGGTAATTTTAGCAGGTAAAATAAAAAAAGAACAAGTTAAAAATCACCTAGAAAAGTTAGATGCCTGCAAGTCACCAGGGCCTGATGAAATGCATCCTAGAATACTCAAGGAGCTGACAGAGGAGGTATCTGAGCCTCTAGCTATCATCTTTGGAAAATCCTGGGAGATAGGAGAGATTCCAGAAGACTGGAAAAGGGCAAATATAGTGCCCATTTATAAAAAGGGAAATAAGAACAACCCAGGAAACTACAGACCAGTTAGTTTAACTTCTGTGCCAGGGAAGATAATGCAGCAAGTAATTAAGGAAATCATCTGTAAACACTCAGAATGTGGCAAGGTGATAGGGAACAGCCAGCATGGATTTGTAAAGAACAATTCATGTCAAACCAATCTGATAGCTTTCTTTAATAAGATAACGAGTCTTGTGGATAAAGGAGAAGCAGTGGATGTGGTATACCTAGACTTTAGTAAGGCGTTTGATACGGTCTCACATGATATTCTTATCAATAAACTAGGTAAATACAACTTAGATGGGGCTACTATAAGGTGGGTGCATAACTGGCTGGATAATCGTACTCAGGGAATAGCTATTAATGGTTCACAATCCTGCTGGAAAGGCATAACCAGTGGGGTTCCACAGGGCTCTGTTTTGGGACCGGCTCTGTTCAATATCTTCATCAACGATTTAGATATTGGTATAGAAAGTACGCTTATTAAGTTTGCAGATGATACCAAGCTGGGAGGGGTTGCAACTAATCTGGAGGATAGGGTAATAAATCAAAATGACCTGGCAAATTGGAGAAATGGTCTGAGGTAAACAGGATGAAGTTTAATAAAGACAAATGCAAAGCGTTCCACTTAGGAAGGAACAATCAGTTTCATACATACAGAATAGGAAGCGACAGTCTGGGAAGGAGTATGGCAGAAAGGGATCTAGACGTGATAGTGGACCATAAGCTGAATATGAGTCAGCAGTGTGATGCTGTTGCAAAGAAAGCAAACATGATTCTGGGATGAATTAACAGGTGTGTTGTGAGCAAGACACGAGAAGTCATTCTTCCGCTCTACTCTGCGCTGGTTAGGCCTCAGTTGGAGTATTGTGTCCAGTTCTGGGCACCGCATTTCAAGAAAGATGTAGAGAAATTAGAGAGGATCCAGAGAAGAGCAACAAGAATGATTAAAGGTCTAGAGAACATGACCTATGAGGGAAGACTGAGGAATTGTGTTTGTTTAGTTTAGAAAAGAGAAGATTGAGAGGGGACATGATAGCAGTTTTCAGATATCTAAAAGGGAGTCATGAGGAGGGAGAAAACTTGTTCATCTTGGCTTCTGAGGATAGAACAAGAAGCAATGGGCTTAAACTGCAGCAAGGGAGGTTTAGGTTGGACATTAGGAAAAAGTTCCTAACTGTCAGGGTAGTCAGACACTGGAATAAATTGCCCAGGGAGGTTGTGGAATCTCCATCTCTGGAGGTATTTAAGAGTAGGTTAGATAAATGTCTATCAGGGATGGTCTAGACAGTATTTGGTCCTGTCACGAGGGCAGGGGACTGGACTCGATGACCTCTCGAGGTCCCTTCCAGTCCTAGTATTCTATGATTCTATGATTCTATTATCTAATAAATGCATTGGCTAATAACTTTTCATGAGTGCAGCAAAAAGAATCTCTCTGACCTGACAGCAACCCTCCTGTTACGTTTCACATCCTAGTTTTGAAGTAAAGAAGCACTAGGGCACCCTCCCCAGACAATTGTGCTAATTTTAAAACATTGGCCAACCATCACAGTTTCCTGTAACAGTGATCTTGGAAACAACTGAACCGTTTCTGTGAAAGCTTAAAAACAAATCCACAAAACACCACCTCTGCCTACAATGCCTGTTCCGTGTGCTTCCAGGAAATTTGCACAATCTTTGGATGAGACTGCTCAATGGATGTGTATAAGATAGTATCTTCTGGCCACACTCCCTCCATATGCAGTGCAAGCCCCCAGGCTGGGAAACAGCTGGGCCCCTCGGATCCAACTACACAGCCCACAGCAGGAAGACTCTCAGCCCAAGAGAACAGACTTGGGCTGACAGAGCTCACACTGGGTATGTCTACACAGCAACATTATTTTTAAATAACTTAGTTTGTGTCTACACAGCAGGCAGTTATTTCAAAATAATATTGAAATACTGTCAAGCTGGAGGACTTCTTACTCTGACTCCTGT